ACCACGCGCGGCGTTGTCCAGTCGAGTGGGTGCACGTGTCACGTTCGAGGGCGCGCTCACTGCTCGTCAGAACCCTGTGCGATTGACAACGTTGTGCGACATGAGCACCTGCTCCCCTGCACGCTGGAAAACGTTGTGCGATGGCCGCAGTCGATATGAGCAGTGGCGCGCCTACCGATTTAAAGTTTCTATTTTGTGCACCCTCAATCGAGCGAGCGCGCCCAGCTTGAATACGGTGCGCGCTGGTTTCGGTCGATATGAGCGGTGTGTGCGCTTCCGCGGGCGCACGTATTACATTCGAGTATCTACCCACTGCTCCTCAGAACCCCGTACGATTGAAAAAGCTGTGCGATGGATGCGATCGATATGAGCAGTGGCGCGGTTTCCGATTGACAACCATGCGCGTTGTCGCCCAGTGCACGTGTCACGTTGGAGCGCTCGCCCATTGCTCCTGGGAACCCCGTACGGGTTAATACGTTGTGCGATGGACGCGGTCAATATGAGCAGTAGCGCACTTGCCGACGTTGTTGCAATCGAGCGGGTGCACGTGTCATGTTGGAGGGCGCGCCCACTGCTCCTCAGAACCGCGTACGATTGAATGCGCGTTGGATATGAGCAGTGGCACGCTTACCGGTTGGCAACCATGCGCGTTGTTGCGCATGCTGGACAGCACGCGCACTGCTCCTCAACAGGGCAAGATGGCTGGCAAGTAGCGCAGCATTCATCTGTGACCAGTTCCCAATTGCGCCTCAATCTTTCCGCTCTCCTCGCATGCAATTACCAGGGTATGCGATTTGCTGGACAAAGGGGAGAAGGGATGCCTTATACCGAGCATACGGAAGAATTGCTTGCAAAAGCAAATGCTTTACTGAATTGATACGAAGAGTTGCCGCGATACGATAAAGGGATTTCAGAGCGTTCTATCGAGCAACAGACTGCTCGATACAAAAAACATTGTGCAGCTAAGAAAGAAAAAAGCGCAATGCGCCGGAAAGCTTTTGCAAAGCTGAAGGAAACCCCTTTTCCTTTTTTTTTTGGGACCCCTTTTTTGGGACCCCTTGTTTTCTGTTTTTTTTTTGTTTTTTCTTAGCCCTGCAAAGGTTGGCTCGCTTGAAATGCAACCTGGAGCCAAATTGCAAGCATATCTAGGGGTCATGATTTTGCAGCCACACGCCTCCACGCAGCGTTTTAGACTTCGAATCCTTCGCAGGACGAGGTCGTTTCCTGGACGGACGCGTGCTAGGAGCCTCTCAGGTAGAATGGAATCCATTTGGGAAACCCCCTCTAAAGAGAGAGCCAAGACCCTAATCTACATGCTGCAGATTCAGTGTGTACCGCCAAAGATCTCTTTTTAAGGGGATTTCCAAATGGATTTATTCTATCTGACAGGTTTCTAGCACAACTTTGTTCTGCAAAGAATTCAAGACCTAAAACGCTGCGTGGGGCGTGGCTGAACATAACAACTTTTAGATATGCTTGCAATTTGTTTTGCTAAAAAAGAGTTCAAGCAGGGTTGGGCGGACCAGTATCAGGCCCAAACGGGTTGGGCAAACCACTAAACGCGGTCAGGTCCAAGAGCCTAACAGAATTTCAAGAAGAGGGAGTGAGATCCTAAATGTCTTAGCTGAGAGAGTCTGAGACACATTTGAGACACTTCTCTTCAACGTTTATGGGTCTCAGGTGTCTGAGGTGTCTTACTTCTGTTCCCAGGATTGTTTCAGGTCTGACAAGGCTGCGCGTGTCTCTGGGTTCCTGACAAGCTGTGCGCTGGCGTGATACAGGCGAGAGAAAAAAACTTGAGGAAAAAATCAGGCAATGTGGCGAAGAGATGCAACTGCGGTATGTTGTTTTTTCGTCTCTGTGCTTGATCGGGCAAACTGTGCAATGCCCCTTCCCTTGCAGGGGCGGAAACTGTACGATACTCTCTCACTTTACATATCCCTTGGATTTGTCAGGGGTTTTCAGCTTGCTTTAATATGCAGGCAAAACAGGTCCTAGTCGCATTCTGTGCGGCTTGGAAGTTTAAGTTGCCCGGGCTTAAAGCGCTGTTTCTGGCCTTGTAAGGTTTCTGTTGCGGAGCTTTGTGGCTCGAAAAGCCTGATAAGTGCTTTCTAAGCGCAACGGTGACTTAGAGCAGAAGGTTGGTTGGGTTGGAATTCTCTTGGTCTTATTTGCTGCATGTGAGCCTTGGTTGCGTCTTTGTCAATCCTGCGCCGGCAACAGGATTGCATTGCTGGGGTGCTGTATTAGACCAGCTGCAGATAGGCCAGCGCATCCTGGTGCCGCACGGTCACGTTGGACGGTGGCAGCTGCCGCCGCACGCAGCTCGGGGGCAGTGGCTGCTGCTGCCGTGCGAAGGAACTCCGAACAGTCGTTCAACTTGCTTGCCACCGCATTGCGCAACCCGCAGGAGTAGGGTGGACTAGCAGGCCCTGAGCGTCATTGACAACGAGGTGCAGGGCAATGCAAGACTTTTTCAAGGGATTGTTGCAGCTTACATGGGAAATCCTCAGTGGAAGCTTCCTGGCTATGTTGAACAAACCGATGCCAAACTGATCGTCATTCTTGACGAGTCAAAGACTCGCATGAGTCTTGTGGTTGGGGCTTTTGCACCGTCCTTTTTGATCCCGTCTGCAAATAGACTGTGCGATATAAGGCTGCCATTATTGGCAGAGGATGACATGGAGCAGATTTACCAGGACAGGATTCCAGGTGCGCGGATGATTTTCGACGGAGTGTCATTGCCGGGGCTCTTCGGCGGTTGTGTGCGGCCGCTAGCCAGTTGGTCCGCTACGAAAAAAACACTGTTCATGAGCCGGAACGCCATCCAGTCCTGTCTTGGCCAATATAAGAGAGTTGCATCCAACTACAAGACGACGGCGGACCTATTCCAGGCGGTTGTTGCGGATGTGCCCGTCAGCTCCGAGATGCTGAAAAATGCATTTATGCAGAACAGCATGTGTCTCGGTGCCGCTTTTGTCTTACCCACCAAAGACGATCATTTCCGTGTGAGCCTGCCACCCTTGCACATTGCAGCAGGCCAGTTCGAACTTCCAACTGAGATGGATCAGGACACTCAAGATGAAGTTCGTCGCATGCTGACGAATTTTTGCTCACCTACGTGGACGCAGTTCGAGGAGCTCACGGGCAGCGCGCCAGCTTTGCGAGTTGCTGCGTTGTCAAAAAGCAAAATGGGCTTCATTTTTGATGGTTATACGGTTCTGCAGCATGTCTTTGGAAGCTTGGTGTCCAATACCAAGGCCCAAGAACTGCTCAGAAAAAGAGTGAGGAAAGATTTTGCAGTGCGTTATGTCAGAGGTGGCACAGATGTGGCAAAAGTGAACTTTTCTAAGCTCAGTTGTGATGCTGGCGAGAAGGAGCTGTTGACCATTAGCATGGCCGGAGATCACGATTAAACATTCGACCACTTCCTCATTGTTCCGCTTGACGACGGCGAGAAGCTCATGTTTTGCTTAGATGCAAAATTTAGCGTGGAAGGTGAGAAGATGGGCTTGAACTTCCAGCAAGACATTCAGCCCAAGCTGAAAGGATTGTCAGCAATGAAGCTTCCACCAAGTTGGCATACTTTAGTCCTTATCGTATCAAATCGCAAGATAACCGAAGGCCAAGCAAGAAATGCAATGACATCTGCAAAGACACCGCTGGTACTGAGCACCTGCAGCGAGCGGCGGTGAAAAAGGCAGAGTTAGTGGATGTGAGTGGGACGCTCGTGCATGTACGTTTTGCAGCCAAAACACCCCGAGCGCTTGGGATTGCAAGGCGGGGTCATGAACGTGAACGAACAGGGGCTTGTAATGCGGGGTTGCAAGGGTTGCGTCGGTTCTCATTGCAATCCCCATTCTATATAAACGTTGCAGGCTACTCATTGCCAAGTCCAATAGTGTCATCCTGCAGATGGCCTGCGTTGATGGTGCTGGCTGCAGCGCTGCGTCTGCTGGACTTGTGCCGCGCACAGCATGTCCGTTGTCCCCAGGTGAGTCAAAAGCAGAAAGCCAAATACAACCAAAAACGCTTGCAGAAAAAGGACTGTCCACTTCGGTCCTCCCGCCCGGCTTGCAGCGCTGCCCAGGCAGCTGCTCGAACATTGCCTCGCCGAGTGGTACTTTCACGCAGGCGCAGCTTATTTGCAGCTTCTGCTTATCTTTGCCCGCGCTTTGCGTGGGTCATCCGGTGTTGTGAGGGTCTGTCCACAAGCTTGCGGAACCTGCCATTGGACGTGTCAGGAGGCATCATTGCAGTTTCATGCAGTTTCCATTCCGCTTGCAACCGTCTCACGCCTTCCTGGGAGATGCGTCAGGCTTGGTGGGGAACAGCTACGCGCTCTGCGTTGACTTGGATGGGGACCATTGCCACTGGGGCCAACTGGCGAGGTCTGCCCAAACTTGGGCACTCGTGTCTTTTCTGTGCAGAACCGGTGTTGTTCTTTTCTGCGCAGGTCACATCGTTGGCTTCTGTGGCACCCGTGACAGTGAGCGCTGGACAAGTTCTGACACTGCGCTGCAATGTGGACGCCCAGCTGCATTTCTAAGTCAGGCCATTTGTATGGCAGCTTGGGATGCTTCGGCCTTGAGTGCGTTCAACTCTTGAGACCTATGTTGTACAGTCATTCCCCGTCAATCTGAGGCCTGCGCAGCGTTTAGCATCCACTTGGCAGAGGTCTGCAGAGGCGTGACAGAGACTGCTTTTTTCAATGGTATCGGCCGACAATGGGCTGGATCGATTTTTGCAGGCATTGGGCTTCTTCCGGCAGAGATACCAGGCAACTCATCTCTTTTGTTTCTTGCACCAGCAGTCCTAGTCACTGCTTCCAGTGACGGCGTGAGCTGGAAGGTGGTCCTTCGCATACGCCGCTGTTGTGTCTGGTGATGCGCCGACTGTGACGGTGGACGCTTCTGCCTTGCGACCTGGGCGCAGCTATTCGCGCTGTGCTGCTGCCTCAGTGCTGGAGCCCTAAGCCACGCTCGAAGCGAAGGTCGTCCATGACGGTCCTCAGGGCGTTTTTCCCAGTGTGCTGCAAAGGTCGACCACGGGTCGGGCGCCGGGGACTCTGGGCTGAGAGTCTACCTGGAGTGTCAGACGTGGAGCCCAAGCAGATCCGCGCAGCGCAGGCGCTGCCACATGCCACATGTTTCTCAGGACAAGACGTGGCAGGTCTTGCAAGCGTTGCAGGCGTTGCAAGTGTTGCAAGTCAGTGCCATTGGGAGAGTATGATACTTCTCCTCATGCAGGCTCAGGAGTTGAGCTTCACTTGTGATGTTTGCTCTAGCCGGCCTGACGACAGGCTGAACGTGCAGATGAAGCAAGTGCGACGTGATAAGACATGAGATGGCGGAGAAGCACAAAGACGCCGGATGCAAGTGGCCTGCAGCTAGGGCTGGGGGGCTCAGTCCAACTCCAATGAAGGGCATTTTTTGTCCACCGTCATGCTACATGTGCAGGCAAGCCTACATCGCTTGCGTTGACCTTGATGCCTTGACGGCGATGGTATGAAGTACACAGTGGGCGACTCTGGTGTTGTTGCATACGTCTCTGGTGCCCAGGCTGAAGCAATTTGTTTCTTGTATTGTCGGATTTTGCATCTTTGTCATCAAGGTTTTCCTTCCTGTGGATTCTACTGCGTAACCTCTGCAGATGGCTATGTGTCTCCAGCCATTCACAGCTTTGCATTGGCCTGCGACGCTTGCACTGCAGCTTTGCAGATGCACAGCTCCTGGCATATGATTGCAAGGCAAGCCGCTGTTTCGAGACAGACCCCTGTGCCTCGCGCCGCGCTTTGCGCGGCTCCGGGACTCCAGGACTCCAGGACTTCAGGACCAGGAGTGGATTTCTTCGGCAAAAGCGCGTGGCCCATGTGGACGGCCTGGACGGAACTTGCAAGTCGGCATTTATCACAAGCCCTGCGCGGACATGGAAGGCGATGCTTGTCCTGTTGGCGCTGTTATGTCGACACATCTTATGCTATGGCCACCTTTGGGTACTTTTGGCCTACTTCTTTCCGCGTTTGAGTAAGGACATCGCGACCTTGCCAGCAGGCCCAGCAGGCTTCGATGTCTATGTCTATGTACCCTGTCTGCTAAGTGTCAACGAAAGCGTACTTGCAACATGCTGGTTTACTTTCGAGCTCCTGAAAAAAGGCACCAAAACGGGAACCCAACTTTCAGGCACTACCATACACTCCTTTGACGTGCTGAGCTCTGCAGCAGTCCAAGGGCTACAGGATTCCCAACTGCAGCGAATCAGATCGTCCAGACATGGGCCTGGGAGCTTGGCATGAAGTCTGGGATGGGTTGGCAGTTGAAGCTACTTGGGTACCAGAGTTTCAATTCCCAGAGTTTCAAGCTCGCGTGCAGACACATAGACGGGCCTCGCAAAAACGCGGACGCCCCCGTGTGTGCCGCCTGGCGCTGTCACGAGAGACTAAGATGGACATGGCGGACGTTTCCTCAACACGTTTGCTCTGCTTTAAAAAAGATGCAACTATTTGTTGGGGAGTTGTGAACACCAATTTCCGCAGTTGGGAAAAACAACGCTGAGATCTATGATGGCCGGACCACAGCATTCGGCATTGGCAACGCCTTTGGCACTGGGAAGACGGAGGTTGCGATCCGGAGTGCCGAGATGACCTGCGCAACGCAGCCCGGCTTGAGAGTCGCTTCCATCTCCTTCAGCAATGGATACAAGAGCCCAGCTTTGACTGACACCGTGAAGGACGACAGCTTGAGGGCAAAGAGGGGCAGCCAGGTGCTCCGATGCAGCAAATACTGCGGGCTGGATACGGGCAACGCGGGTCATTGACAACGAGGTGCAGGGCAATGCGAGGCTTTTTCAAGGGATTGTTGCAGCTTACATGGGAAATCCTCAGTGGAAGCTTCCTGGCTATGTTGAACAAACCGATGCCAAACTAATCGTCATTCTTGACGAGGTGCAGGAGTTCGCCTTCAGCACGCTGGAAGGCCTACCATGATCATTGTGCCGTCAAAGACTCGCATGAGTGTGGTTGGTGCTTTTGCGCCGTCCTTTTTGAACCCCTCTGCCAGTCGACCGCGCGATGTAAGGCTGCCAGTATAAGCAGAGGATGACATGGAGCAGATTTTCCAGGACAGGATTCCAGGTGCGCGGATCAATTTCGAAGGAGTGTCATTGCCGGGGCTCTTCGGCGGCTGTGTGCGGCCGCTAGCCATTTGGTCCTCTGCGAAAGAGGAACTTGGAATGAACCAGGACCCCACCCAGTCCTGTCTTCGCCAATATGAGAATCTTGCATCCAACTACTGGACGACGGCGGACCTCGTTCAGGCGGCCGTTGCGGATGTGCCCATCTGCTCTGAGATGCTGAAAACTGCATTTATGCAGAACAGCCTGAGTCTCGGCGCCGCCTTCGTCTTACCCAAAGACCGGCATATCCTTGTTTCGCTGCCACCCTTGCAGATTGCGGCAGGCCAGTTCGAACTTCCAACTGAGATAGATAAGGGCACTCAAAGGAAAGTTCGTGACATACTGCACCTACGTGGACGCAGTTCGAGGAGCTCACGGGCATCGCGCCAGCTTTGCGAGTTGCTGCAACATGGGCCTGATTCTTGGTGGCCATACCGTTCTGCAGCATGTCTTTGGAAGCGAGGCCTCCAATACCAAGGCCCAGGAACTGCTCAGAAAAAATGTGAGGGAAGATCTCGCAGTGCGTTGGGTCAGAGGTGGCACAGATGTGGCAGCAGTGAACTTTTCTCAGCGATGCTGGCGAGAAGGAGCTGTTGACCATTGGCATGGCCGGAGATCACGATTCAACATTCGACCACTTCCTCATTGTCCCGCTGGACAATGGCGAGAAGCTCTTGTTCTGCTTAGATGCAAAATTTAGCGTGGAGGGTATGGAGAAGGACTTGAACTTCCAGCGAGACATTCAGCCCAAGCTGAAGGGATTCTCAGCAATGAACCTTCCAACAAGTTGGCATACTTTGGTCCTTATCGTGTCGAATCGCAGGATCACCGCAGGACAAGCAAGACGTGTAAAGAATTCTGCAGAGGCGCCGCTAATCGCAGCAGGGGCGGAGCACCTGCAGCGCGTGCTGTCGTGCTCTTTGGTCCCACCAGCATACAGAGAACGGAGGCGAAAAAAGCAGAGTTAGTGGATGTGAGTGGGACGCTGGTGCATGTTGCAGCCAAAACACCGCGAGCGCTTGGGATTGCAAGGCGGGGTCATGAACCTGAACGAACGGGTTGCGTCGGTTCTCATTGCAATCCCCATTCAAATTATTTTGACCTCGGCTGCGAAGAAGCCATTGAAACTGCATCTCTAGAGTCTGCGTGTGTGTGTGTGCTTAGAAGACCTGAATTGAAAAATGTTGGCGTGCCTGCCGACGGGGTTTTGGGGCGAATCACACTCCGGGATTCTTTTTTGTCATGGGATGCTTAAGGCTTGTGGAGGGTGGCCTTGACTCCTTGCACCCCGTTACACAAGAAAAGCTTCCCCAAAAACGGCGTGGTGAAAACGATCTGCTTCTGCGCACGCACCTGCCGCAGGATGGCAAAAAAACAACTGTGCGTCAGCAAAGCTTCACACACTAGGCTGTCACCAAGGCCGGCCCAGTACGTCCACTAAGTACTGTTGGGTCCACCGGGCCCACTGTGTCCACACACCATACGCCTCGGAGAAGCCATCCTTCTCCATGCAAACCATGCAAAAGACATGACGGTCGTAGTGCTTCGCATGCTGAGTAAGGAGTGCTCCCTCTGTTGGCGAAGTTTGCAAAGCCGACGTGCAAACAGCCAGGTTGCTTTTGGCGTTTCCGGCCTCTGCGTTCAGGCCAGGTGGCGTCCAGCGTGTTTCTCACATGGCCGGGGTCCTTTGCAGATGGAGGATCCGATGAGATTGTCAGCGCTAGCAGGCCGCTGGCCTGCTTGCAAGCCTCTGGCTTGCCCCCACGGTGTGGGCGCTGCTGGGGCGAACCGACCAGTTTGCCAGCGAAACGTCCGTGGGGCCCGGATTTGCTCCCTGATGCCAGCCACCACCTCGTCGGCCCCTCCGAGGCTGCCTCCGTGACTCCCAGCTTGCCGGCTAGTCCATGTAGTAGCTGAGCAGTGCGGCGGCGATGCTCGAGGCCGTTGCCGTGTCCTGGTCGGCAACCGAGCGGTACGCCACCAGGATCTGGTTGGTCGTGAAAACGTCCTGGTCCGGGCCCGTCCGGTAGGCCAGCAGCGCGCCCGCGATGGCTGCCTGCGTCTCCGGTAGTCGGTCAACAGTGCGTCCACTTGCGCCGGGGTGTAGTAGGCCAGCAGCGCAGCCGAGATGGCGCTGGTCGTCTCGGCGTCCTGCGCCGTCCCCGTTCGGTAGAGCAACAGCGCGTCCACTTGCGCCGAGGTGTAGTAGGCCAGCAGCGCAGCTGCGAGGGCCGCGTCCGCCGCTGCGATGGAGTAGCAGTCGGCCGTGATGCTCAGCGTGTCGTCGCCGTTGGCCAGCGCAGCAGAGAGAGGAGGTTCGAGATGCAGGTTGCGAACGACGTTGCTTCCGCGAACGAGCTCCCAAGTTGTGAACCCCGCCCAGGCCGGCGCGTTAACAACTCCGCCGCTGCCGGAAGCTGCAGGGCGGCGAGCTCCGCGAGGATTGCGTCGAGGGCGCTCTGGAGCGTGGTCTCGCTGGCGGAGAGCGCGGCGTTCGTGGCGTACGAGGCCAGCAGCGTCGCGTCGCCCTTGGCCCCCTGGAGCGCCGAGATGCTGGCGTCCCGGCTAGCAAGCTGCGCTGCGACGTAGGCCTCGGTGGCAAGACCCAGCAGGGCATTTGCTATCTTGGTGTCTACCTCCACCGGCGTTGTGCGTACGCGGTCAGGGGTGGCGTCTGCCTTGGAGGCCTGCAGCCCCGAGATGGAGGCGTCTCGACTTGAGGAGGGTGTTGGCCACCTTGGTGTCGACCTCCAGCGGCGTGATCCTTGCTGCGATGTCGAGGGAGTGCTGGTCCACCACCGTCTTGAGGCCGTAGTTGGCTGCCACCGTGGCCAGCGTGGCGTTGTTGGCCGAGGCGATGGAGCCATTCATGGCTGCCAGTTTGACAGCTTCAGGTCCACGCTGTCGGGGGTGCTCTTCGAAGGCCGACTGGTCAGCCTTGTTCGAGAGACCCGTGGTCAGCGAGCTCTGCAGCGCAGCGATGCTGCTCCCGTGCGCAGCCACCTGCCCGTCCGTGGTGGCCAGGGCTGAGGTGCGATTGGCGGCGCCAGTGCGCGCTCTGCAGTGACCCGGTCGTCCAGAGACTGGATGGCAGCTGTGTTGTTGCCGGATGCTGCTGTGTTCACTAGGTCTGCCACTTGCGCGTAGGGCGCCCTGCGGTGACGTGCGTGCCTTCCGTCACCTCTCCGTTGTCCAGGACCTCCGGGATGTTCCCGGTGACAGGTCCTTCAAACATCTTTACATATGTTTTCGCCGACGCCTTAGTGCAGTGGCTAAGGCGTCGGCCAAGGAACTGACCGCTTCTTACTCCGCCTGCCCGGACGGCGAGTTGGGTACGGGGCCCAACACGCCAACCACTGCGCCACTCAAAGCTCCACGACAGAAACGCACTTACAAGGCCAGAAACAGCGCTTTAAGCCCGGGCAACTCGAACTTTCGAGACGCACAGAATGCGACTAGGACCCGTTTTGCCTGCATATTGAAGCAAGCTGAAAACCCTTGCAGAAGTGCAAGCAGAAGGGCTGTGGCCGCACCGCGCAAAACCACCAAATTTTCGCAGAATCCACATATGCTGAATGATAACCTTTGAGGATGCGCTGTGAGCGGTTTTAGATTTCACAAATAACAGAGAGAGCCTCGGCGTCCTCGAATCTGTACATCAAGAAGTGGACGTTGATCCTCTTGCCGCAAACGGACGCGGCCTTGCTGCGGCGCCCACCACGCCCGCGCTCTTCAGCAGGTCGGAGACGTTGAGCTTCACTCGCTTGCCCGGATGCTCCACCTCGTGCTCCTGCCGGGTCGCTTTGATAAAGGATTCGCAGGCCGCGTGGATGTCCTCCCTGCTGTCCGCACTCGAGGCGCCGGTGGCTCTCTCCGTCTTGGTGGACAGGAGGACTTCACTAAGTCGCCCACCTCGTCCTTCACTTCCACCTTCAGCAGGGCCAGGCATTTCGTGGGAATCGGGCCGATGGAGTGGGCCTGTCCTTCAAAAGGTGCTTGTAGACCAGGTGCAGGATCGCGAAGAAGGAGGGTGTGGTGGATCGAATGGTGTCCTCCACCGGGACCCACGTTTTCTGGGGGGCTCGTTGGCGGCGAAAAACGCCAAGAACTGCGGCTTGTACCTCACGATCTTCTCGTACAGGTCGCGCCCAGACAGCTCGGAGATCGGGTCGGTGAACTTCTTGTACACCTGGAGCCGCATCGTCTCACTCCCGTCCACCTCCCGGATGCTCACAAACTTTCTGGCGCGGCAAAGCGCATAGACGGGGGAGGGTGCGTTGGGGTCGCGAATCTTGGAGAACGTGGAGGCAGCGCTTGTGTCCAGTGTCCGAGAGGATTTTGAAAAATCTCGTGCACTCCGTACGGCATACTGACGTGGGCCGCGGGTGTCCGCATCACAACCTGGGCGAAAATCCCATGATGCGTTGGCGGGGATGTGAATGCCTTCATGACGTAAGCGTGGTGCTCCCGCCAGCGGATGTCCCTGGCATTCCAGAGTTCCAGAGTGTGCGTGCCCGCGTCCTTGCAGATCCGCCTCGGCCGCCTCGAGCGCGCTCTGAACCGAGAGCTGTGGCTTCAGCGTGAAAGCGAACTCTCCCAGCACGGACTTGATCTCGTTGCGCAGCAGGCCCAAATCGCCCTCGAACTCCAACCTATGGACCACGTTCACAACTCTGTCAATGAGCTCCCTCTCCTGTGCGGTGTTCAAAACGTAGCAGAGGAGCTCGCGGGGTCGGGCGGTCTCGTTTCTCAGCCGCTTCAGCACGTCGCGGTTCTTTGAGCAGTCCTCGGCAACCAGAGCTCTCACCGTCCTCTGAAACTCGAGCGCGTAGTCCATCATTGGAAAGGTCGTCTTGTGCGCCGTCGCCCAATTCTCGATGCTGCCGTAGAGGAGCCTCAGGTAGAGCTCTTTGGCTGCAGTCCGGTCGGGGTGCGTCGCACGGCGTCCCGCTCTGCCACGAAATTCTTCAAAAATGCGGAATCGTGGCAGTTCGCCAGGTCGAACGTGTAGTGGTTGCGCAGCCCGGCTCTGGCCACGTCTCTCAACCATCTCGGCAGCATGAAGGTGGAAGCCGCCATGTTCCCGCTGGCCACTCCTGGGTTCTTCAAGCGGAGCGCCTTCAACTGATCTCCGTCCGCCCCCCCCGTGTGCCGCCTCCCCTTCTTCTTGAGATCCACCATGAGAGACTCCTCGAAGTAGACAGTCTTGTAGGCGCGTGCCGCGCAGGGAAGCCTGTTCCGGCCGCACTGCACAAGGAACAGCGTGGGACCGGAGCCGTTGCTCAAGCGGAACACCTTGGATACCTCCCGCGTGGCCAACTCTCCAAGAGCCTCCTCGTTCACGTGGTCAAAGAGAATTTGCGGCTCGTTCCCCTCCTTGTCCACGTCCTCCATGAGGTGGTCCCCCAACTGGAGAGGTGCCTCGGCCACTCCTTGCAACACAAGGTTCCTCGCGGCCTTGTTGTGGCCCCCTTTCTAGCCTGTGCCTCTGGCCTCCGCAATCTCCCCCTCCACGATCTCTCCCTCCATGTTCGCGTTCAGATGGTCCATGATGCCGGGTACTGTCGGGCTATTGATGGACTATGGGGAGATCGAAT